GAAACTCATATCTAAATCCTGTAAAAACAAAAGCTACTAAACTAATCTAATGAGGGAAACCAGGAGGGAGCTGGGGACTAAATGGGGCACAGGGGACTTGGGGACACATGAGGGAAACCTGGAGAGGGCTGGGGACCACAAGGACACAGAACATGACATGCACAAAGCAATGATTGTTTGCCCATCTGCGGTGGACTCCATCTGAGCACATGTGTCACTTTATTTATTTAGAGCATAACAAGGAGAGGGTGATGAAGGTTACACCAAAACCAGCCTGAACAGGTGAGTTTTCAGCTGCTTTTTAAAGGAGACCACTGAGTCCACTGATCTCAGGCTCAGGGGGAGAGAGTTCCAGAGTCTGGGGGCCACAGCAGCAAATGATCTGTCACCTTTGGTCTTTAGTGGTGCCGCACAACCAATAGGCTTTGGTCACTGGACCTCAGGGATGTAGCAATAAATATAGATTTATATCTGTATTTCAAATGTGGTGTAGATTTAGCTTGTTTAGTTGTTTATAATCTTATATTAATTAATCGGGGCACCACCAGTTTTGTGGAACTGGACCATTGGATTTAATATCTACATCTACTCATACTAATCAGTCTCAAAGTTAACACCACAAGTTAATCTAAAGGATGAATTCTTGACAGAATGCGCCGATTATTCTTGAGAATTGCTAGAAATGATCAGGTGTGGAGGACTGAGCATGCGCATGCGCTGACGGCCGATCACCGGACACACGACAACGTTTGATGCAGATGGCAGCTCGTTAATCAACTTCCACAAACAATTAAGACACATTTCTGCCTAATTTACTCACTGACAACCATCGACATATATACTGGACAATTCATTTCCATAGGTTCCAACAACACATTTTTGTGCCAAAATGGGAGGTGGCCACCACCGCCATTTTGACCGTGCCACAGGTTCCGTCAAGCCCAGACAATTCCACAAAAGGGAAGAGAGGTGGAGCTGACGGTGGGGCTTTATGGCTGGGATCAACTGACGACACCCGGTCAAACTAGCTACAAGCTAACCTGAAGCTAAGCTAACGCGGAGGTGGGAGAAAAGCTAACGGAGGTGTTGAGGGTCTGCCCTCATGAGAAATTGCTGCAGTAATTTCTCCAAAAGACTGTGCCATCTGCGCTCTGAAAAAGCAGATAAGTTCCAGCGCCAAGAGAGACTTCATTTCCCATGGGTCTTTGCACCCAGAAGCAGCATGATGACGTCACCGCCAAGGCGGAGCACGGGTTCTGCACATGCGCATCACCTACAACAGTCAGTCCGCCAGCCACCAGAGTCTATAAAAGAGAGGAAAAGTGAAACTTAACTTCTCTTTGTTCTCAGCTTCGGCTGATGTTAGAGAGAAATCGCTCGCTGCTGCAGCTTCGGACGTGTGGGAACGCCGAACCGCGGAGGAGCAGCGTAAAATCATCGTATGGCTCAGCGTGATTTCCAAGGGACGCCTTGAAGTCGCTCAGAGAAGAGTTTTCCTTTTTTTCTATCTAACTACTTCTTCCGTTTTCTCTATAGTTCAAAATAAGCGATCAAACTGCAGATAATTTTAAAGTAGCTTCGGGCTCTCTTTCGTACCAAAATACGTCATAGGAGCATCTTAAAGAGTAAGCTGTTTATTATGAATATCTTAAATAGTTGTGCTGTGGCCAGGCTGATAAACTATCAGGGATTTCATTAATGATTGATTCTCTTTTTCTTTGAGTTTGGTGGAGAGGGTTTAAACTTCTGAAGTGTTTAAGTTACTGTCAAATTGAGTTAAAGGTAGAAGCAAAACTTTTCCTTTGTCTGTATTAGAGCTGAAAAGATAGCTCCCTGTCACATTCCTTCAGCATTACCTCACTGACACACACACACACACACACGTACTTGTTTTTAGGGGTTGGGGGGGACTCAAGACTAAAACAAACCCATCCTTTGGGGTCTCCTTGTTTTACGGTATCATTTCATTGTTGTTATTCATTTGATAAAATCAATTGGTTGATATTGATTGACCCCAATCGGACCATTGATATTGTCCTGCAGGATGATGTGGGTGAGGGGGTGGAGGGTCTGAGTTTGGAGTATCCGGATGTTCCCTGGAGGTGGGTTCACTGGGGGTGTCTGGGACTGGGGGGCCGTTGCCCCCCTATGGAGGTGCTTGGGTTGCCTCGGGGGGTGGACCACTGGCGGTTGTGAGTGGGGCCCCTTGGAGGTCTTGGCGGCGGCCATGGGTCGCTGCCTGGCAGCTGTATTTCGCCTGGGCGGGTCTGGGTGGGGGCCTGGGGGCTCGCGGTGTGGCCGGCCCCATGTGGGGATCTGGGCGAGGCCTTGGGGGTTGGGTCCTGACATGTATGCTGCCAGGAAGAAGGCAGGAACATGCAGCAGTGCCTGGCCCGGGTTCAGGGGCCTCGGGTAGACCTTGGCTCCTCTGCTGTCCCATCACAGGGGAGGGGGAGGTCCAGGAGGGGGTGGACCCAACCTTACCTGGATGTCCTATGTCTTATATATTCTGGAAGTTGTGCAAATGCAGGGATGGGCGTAGATGTTCTGCTGGGGTGGGGCTAGGTTGGTGCCCTCAGACTCTGTGAGGCTCTGCAGTGCTGCTGCTTTGGGCTCTGGGCTGGGGTCTCCATGCCTTGGGTGGCATTTTGACAACAGAGGTGCCTATTGTGGCCAGTGGGGGAGCTGGCTCCCTGGAGGGCTAAGCCCAACCAGCCATTCCTCCCCATCCCCACATATTTTTCTCCTCCTGCTCCCTCACATCATCACACAAACATGCACATAGGACCTTGGGGTTGGACAAGTCAGAGAGTGCGGGTATGTACCCCATTTCCGCATTCCTGTGGCAACCTGCCCCCCAATTTTATTTGCACCTTAAACACTTCCACCAACGACATTCCACGCAAACACACACTTAGGGCCTTTGGAGTGAGCACATTCAACGGCAGTTGGCAGGGGGATTTCTCAGTCTCATCCTGAGTGCCGGTGTCCACTTCCAATTTTAAACTGCACTTAGACACCGAAGGCTGTGGGTGCAAGTGGGGTGGTGCGGTGGCATCAGCTGGCATAGGCCAGACAATGCCCGCACTTGCCCACTGACCACAGCCATGGAATACACCTCATCAACACACAACAACACTATATTGGAGCAAGCGGAAGGAGACTGGGGGTCTTAGCACACCTCTATTGTTGCTTAGCTTCCTGGGGCTGGAGGCTAGGAGGGAGATCTGGCCATCTGGTTGGGGTCTGGGGTGGTGGGTTGCTGTGCTCAGCGTTGGGCGGGGGAGCCTGCTCATCAGCACCCCAGCAGAAAGGGCCAAACTCTGGTTACCGGTAATGGTTGTACCCCATGTGCAGCAGTACCAGGATCAGAGTGAAAAGGGTGTGTATGGGGAGCATGAGTGGGCGTGCATTTTTGTAAGTCTTTGGTTGTATGTGCATGTGTGAGCATGAGGGAGGGAGTGTGTGACTGTGTTTGTGTACGACTGTATATGTCAGGTTGGGCCTTTGACTCCTCTCTTCTCCTGGGACTTCTTTTGATGATATAGATCTTCGTCTCCCCTCCCCCTGCCACACCTGGTGTGGAGTGCGGTGCCTTGGTCTGCCTGAATGTTCATGGCTCCCGGGTCAGGGGGTTTAAAATTTTTGGCGTCTGGCGTATCAATCCCGGTGGCTGTCTGGTGGGGTCTGGGTCCCTGGGCTCTGCTGGGTCCCCGGCGGGGGGGTCGCCCCTGGGTCCCAGGCTCGGCAGGCTAGGGGTTGGGAGGCTGCGGGCGGGCTTGTGGGCTTGCCGCTGAAATCTCCCGGGACTCAGTCGGCTGCTGGTTGTGGCCCACCGGGGTGATCCTCTGTGCCTCTCGAGGGAGGCGGGGGCCTTTCTGGTTGCACTCTCCTTGGGGTTCCTGTGTTCTGGGGCAGTGCCTGGATCTCTGGGACTTGGAGCTCCCTCCGTCTCCTACACATCTTTGGGGGGCAGATCTTTGGTCCCTCACACTCTCTATTGGACGCTTTTATAGAGAAACCTTACATTAACAAGTATGTGTACACACACAGGTGCTCACATGGTGCTCTCAAAAGTATGGGCTTGGGCACATTCAAAACATGTCGTTGCCACTAAATGCACTATGATTTATTATCATGTGATTGTTTAGTTAAACAATGCTGACTATAAATTTCTTCAAGTTGACACAGTGATAGCTTGCTCCTGTTGTATTGTTGTGTGTCCCTTTTTTTCTGCTCTTTCTCTTTCTGCAGGTCTAGAAGCAGACTCTTGTACATTATTGTTTACTTTGGTGGACAACCCCCCCCCCCACACACACACACACACACAATTCCTTTGTCTTTCACCTCTGACTCCGTGTTTGTTCGGAATTACAAAGCATTCAAAAACTATAACAATCACGTTTTAAGTATCAGGCGTGACATTAAAAGCAGACGCTTTGATGCTCCACCTGAGAGTAAATCTGTAAGGCTTGTTACCAGCAATCCAGACATCAATTCTGTTTGCTTCACAGCCAGACAGGACACAGTTAAAAGGAAAATAAAAATAAAAAAGAAACTGGCCTGTTTTACATCAACTCTCAGACTGACCCTTTTCTCAAGATGGGGAAGTCGTAAAGCTTCTCTTATGTCCTCCTGGGAGCTTCAAGACTTGAGTCTTTATAAACCTTGTATTCCTGTTTATCAACAATCAAAGAAGATTTTCTAGTTTGCTTCACCATTAGAAATCAAGGTGATCTAATGCTCTAAGTAAATGTTAAAATTGTATCGGTTACAAACTTAACTGCTTGTTTTGTGTTTTCCCTTTATGTTTGCCAATTTTTGTTTATAAATGAATAGATTTTAATTTAATCTGACAAAACATTCTGGCTTTAAAGTACCTTGAGACTCATTTTAGGTCACAGGCCAGACAGAAATGGTTCTAACTCAGGTGTGTTGCTGTCACCAGCTAGACTGGATCAGTCAATCACAGCTGATGATCCACAGCTGTTTCACACATGATGAGTGTTGTTAAACCTGCCAGGTAAGCTGTGTTCATTCAGACCAGAACCATGGCAGCAGTTGGGGTGCTGCTTGTGTTGCTGCAGATTGTGTTGCTGAGTGAAGGTTTGGAATTTAAAAAGTCATTAATAATGTTTAGGTTGTGTCAAGATCCTGATCAGCTCATTTTGGAAGCCATGTGCTACATATATATCTTTATTTATTATGTGCTTTTTGTAGGTTCTTCATTAGATGGACCCAAAAATCTGAGAGCTGGTGACGAGCTGCAGGTTAAACGGCAAGGTGTGGAAACCAGTAATAGAGTTGAGTAAGAATTTCCTTCTGACACTAACTTGATTTTGGTTTACAGGCCTGTTCCCAAGTGACTCTGCTCTGAAGAAGCTGTTTTCTGTCCTGGAGAAAGGGGCCAAAGGTGAGCAGTTACTGTAAAACCCTACTGGTCTAGCTCACCTCATCTGGCTTCACCAATCTGAATGACCTGCATAAAAACTGGAGCAAGTTATGCAAAGGCTCTTAAAAAATTTGTAATGAAGAGATGTTACTGGTCTTGGAAGGGCTATTAAAGTCCTGCATGTAAAAACTAAATTTTCTCATTTTAATTACAGTTCCACTCCCCAAAGTAAAAAGGGAAACAAATGTGACTCTTCTACAATGTCGCAACTCTACTGCTGCTGCATGCAGTGTGGTCAACGGCCCCATGACGTTCCCGACGTGGCCCCCTAGCCCCAGGCCCATGACGTTCCCGACGTGGCCCCCTAGCCCCAGGCCCATGACGTTCCCGACGTGGCCCCCTAGCCCCAGGCCCATGACGTTCCCGACGTGGCCCCCTAGCCCCAGGCCCATGACGTTCCCGACGTGGCCCCCTAGCCCTGGGCCCAGGTTGCAGAAATAAAGATTCCCCTCACTGATCCAGTCATGGGCTCATTACTGTTTAAATGTTTGGTTTAATTTAGTATCATTGTGTTATTGTGAACTATTTGTGGCATCAACAGCCAATGTTGGGTCTTGATCAGATATTGGTCATGGATATTATTGAATGGTGCAAGGCCTGTTTTTTAGATTTCTAAGTGAGTGGAAAATAAGTTTTCACTAGTGCCATTTTGGACGTGTCACACCCAGACAATCAAGAGTGAGGAGGTGCTGCTAAAGGCGAGACTAATTTAACTAGCTGAGCCAACTCCTGAAACAAGACTATGCTCAAAGGCAGTTCCCCCTGTACGGCTGTCTGGCCTCTGTTCAGAGCTGTTGTTGTGCTGGTCACTTGTGGAGCTCTAATATGGACAAATAAAAATGGTACAAGTGGTGCGAGGAGACCTTGATTTTTTTTTTTATAAAGGTCATACTCACCTGCAGTCAGGAGATAAGCAAACAGAAGTTCCATTTTAGAGAAATGCAGTTAAGACTATAAACCCAAGAAATACAACTCAAAGAGCTACAATGTTTTTGAGCTCCACAGCGACCAGCACAACTTAAGCCTCTCAGAAGCCAGGATCTCATGTGTCTCATACCCCTCGACGGATAGGAACATGTGGCAGCTCTTCCCGGCCGACATGGGCAAGGCTGGGCACCCATTTTACTGGGTAACCTCCAACTGTGGTGAACCAGTGAAGCCGCAACGCTTCAGTTGGCTAACTTCTGTCAGCTTGCATAGCTCGAGTTTCAGTACCCAATCAGCCAACACATTTCAACCAGTTTATGACCATGTAATGTTATGTTATACGCACAGTTTTTCCCCACTCAACCAGCAAAATAAAGTTCAGAAATATACATTTACTTACCAAGTAAAATAAGCAGACTTATTCATTGGTCTGTTAGTATAATTACACAAATTTGCCATCTTTGCCTGAAAATTCCATGATTACCATCCAAACACAACTTGAAGGTGCAGTATGAAAGAATATAGTGAGAAAAGAACCAAAAGAGTAATGAGTCACATTGGAAGGAGGGTTATACTAAAACATCCCAGCAAACATTGTCACAACGTGTTGTCAATGTCCAAGAATGTTTGTGGTTGGATGCCTTAAATTTGTTAAAACATGTAACAGAAAATTCCCTAATCCATTCAAATACTCTGCCACTAGGCCACTGAGCTGGTCAGCTGCCCACAGGATTCAGTCGAGGAGACATGTGAAAGGAGGATGCTGTTGGGGAAGATGACAACCATCGTGAAAAACCCCTGACCGTGGACAGCTCCTTCAGAGGCAGACTGAGACCTCTCAGATGTAATACATTTTATTTGAGGGCACCTTTCTCAAACCCAAGGACACCTTCCAACAAAAAACATGACATTAAAAACAACACAGAGGTTGACAGAGAAAGAAGAGCAAATAAGATGCATTAAAATTTAAACATTTCAAGATCTAAGTCTAAAGGGAATAGGCTTGCTTGAATAGGTTAGTTTTGAGGTGTGCCTTGAATACTGTAAATGAGTCAGTATTTCTAATGGCAGAGGGAAGTGTGTTCCAGGGCCGCAGAGCAACTGAAAGTTCTGTTCCCCATGGTTGTAAGGCGAGCTCGAGGTTAAATCAGGTGAAATGCAGATGAGGATCTAAGAGACCGGGAAGTAGTTGCAATAGTTAATAAATCACACAAATAAAATGGGGCCATGTTATGGATAGATTTAAATGTATTAAGATCTTGTATATGATTCTAGTTTTTATTGGCAACCAGTGTAGTTTTTTAAGAATAGGAGTGATTTGATCTCTTGAGGGGGTTCCAGTAATGATGTGTGCCGCAGAGTTCAGGACATATTTTGCAGACCTGGAAATGGAAACCAAGAACGTTTTAGATTGTAGACTGGTGCAGGCACGGACTTGCAGGGGTTCGGCGCGGGTGAGCACTCTGGAGGGCCCTCGGTCGACGCGCAGGTGCAGTTAGAGAGATCAGGGTCTGCCAGTAGTGGTACTGGGTGCCATTCAACCCCCCCCCCCCCCCCCCCCCCCCCCCCCCATTGGTAGGTGAGTCACCAACGTCAGGGCTAGAGTTCACCAGCGCCAGCTGCAGTGGAGTAGGGTCAGTGATGTCATCAGCCCCTCCTTCGGCAGGTGGGGTCCCCACCGCAAGGTGCTGGGCTTCAGCCAGAATCTCAGCGCCACCATCAACCCCCCCTTTGGCAGGTGGTGTTCCCACCTCAGGGTGAGGAGTCTCAGGTGGTGTGTCACTGCAACCGCCAACACCCCCTAGGGTGGTTGGTTTTCCCACCACAGTGTGAAGTGGTCCTGCTGCAAAGACGACGCAGACACTGTGGATGTCACTGACCCAAGAGGTACTGGATTGACTGGTCAGTCTGGCGGCGCCGTTGTACTTAACAACACCTAAGGAGGGAATGAGGACCTCAAGAGGCGCCATGGGCGTCGGTTGAGTAAGCCAAGTTCGGAGTGTCCAATCACCGAATGAAATGACAGCCTTAAAGCGCCTGAGCAGGTCCTCCCCAACAGGAAAGGAAAGGCTTCGACGTCAGCTACAAACACTGGATGGCTCACAGACATGTCTCCCACTGAGAAGTGTAGGAACAAGGACAGATGTTCACGGCGCACAGCGTGAGTTCTAAGACAGCTGCAGCTGCAGCCAAGCGGACTTGCTCCCAGAGAGAACTGGACATGATGGTGAAATCTGAACTGGAGTCCAAGATGCACTCACAGTCAAGCGCCCCCTCCAGGGTCACCGGAATGTGAGGTTTCTCATTCGGACCCTCACAGACGATATTGCAGAGAAACCTTAGTGGAAGTCTGACTGGTGAGCTAGGCTCGCCGGGTTTGAAGGCAGGTGCTTTGGATGCTAGAGGACCAGCGCTGACGGAAGTGACCACACCAAACCTCGCCGAGGTCACAGGTGTTATCGGATGCGCCGTTGTGGCAGGCTTCGCCCCTGCGGGACCTGCTTCTTCGACCAAGTCACGTGCTGGTCCAGGAGGTGGAGGGGGGTTTGTCAAAGAGATGGACAGAGCCGACTCACATGCCGATGGATCCTTCAACAGGGCCCAAAATGCAGAACTGTTCGGCGTGAGCCGTTCCAGGAGAATCCAGGTTGACTGCAACTCCATCCTCCATCTCCCCAACATCAGACTGTTGCACTGTCTCCTTAATTTCCCCTTTGTTACCTTTTCTCGTCCGTACTCCCGCCTGCATGGCAAAAACTATGCTGTGTCCTCCAGATCCCACTTCTGACACCAAATGTGAGGGATCAAGTCAAATGAGTGGAGGAACACAGGAAATCTCCAAAAATAGAGGCTTTTTAATTTCCTTTTTTGTATTAAAATATCCTCACAAAAAATAGCTTGAGCTCATAAAAGAGGTCAAACAAACAAACTGAAACTCAATAAACTGCTAACTTAACATGCTGACTGACTGAAACCATAACCAACCTAACAAACAAAGACACACAAGGGTATATATCCACACTGGCTGATCAGACCTTAGGAACAATAGGGATTACTAGACAAACATTTACTAACTAAAACTAAAACCACAAATCAGTACAGTCAGATTGTTAATAAACCTAAACACCCTAACCCATAAACCTACCGTAAATCCTCTAATACCGGCCTGTATTCAATTAACGGCCGAGTCTCATATTTTGGCCAGTGTCGGAGTCGGCGGAGGTGAATAATGGCCGGTTTCTTATTGTGGCCAGGTGGAATGTGGTAACAAGCAAGTACGGGGGGGTGGTTGTGTCATCGTCTCACTTTTGATTTGCCAGTGATAGACCCCGAGGGTAACTTTAACCATGCGGAGACGAAGAGGAGGTGAAAATTTGATATCAAGTTCAAAGAGAACGTGGGCTGCAGAACACTGGGGAGCAGTAGGGGTTGTATGAACTAGTCGACTTCACTATAGTGACAACGTGCTGTGCCAGAGCGTCGGTACTGACATGCGATTGTTCATGTCAGTTTTTGCGGTCGGTAGATCTGCGTCCTGAGCACGGCCACAGTAACATTATCAAATCAGGTGTCGCCACCTCAAAAACTAATTTAACACGCAATCGTTCATGTCAGTTCATTTCCTTTAATGTTTTCTGTCTTTTATTTGCACCTGATGTGCTTCGCTGCTGTGGAGCGGGGCGCATCACCTTGTCCTCCAGTGACACACCGATCACTGATGCGGCCGCCAAGCAGGGAGCACTCCGCTGTTTTTGCGGTCGGTAGATCTGCGTCCTGAGCACGGCCACAGTAACCTTATCAAATCAGGTGTCGCCACCTCAAAAACTAATTTAACACGCGATCGTTCATGTTGGCTCATTTCCTTTAATGTTTTCTGTCTTTTATTTGCGCCTGATACGTTTCGCTGTGGAGCGGGGCGCATCACCTTGTCATCCGGTGACGCACCGATCACTGATGCGGCCACCAAGCAGCGAGCACTCTGCTGTTTTTGTCGTCGGTGGATCTTTTAGAACTGCAGTTCAAAGGTAACTCATAAGGTGAATATATATGAACCCAGGTAGCAGTTTTTCTTTAGGATTGAGAGGAGATGCAGGAAGATAATAAACAGACAGGACAGAAAAATAGTCAAATAAAAACAAGTTAGTTTTTGTACCTGGTGGTTGCGACAAACAGACACCATTGAAGGTAATCAGAAGTGAGGAACAGAAAATGAAATAATTATTTTAATGTTTAGAGCAGCATGAACTCCGAGAGGCTGCAGGCGCATCAGTGAGTTTGCGGTCGCTGCGCAGGGGGAGGGGGCTGAAGCAGAAACTACCGTTGTTAAAGGGGCTGCATGGTGGCGCAGTTGTTAGCACTGTTGCCTCGCAGCACGAAGGTTGCAGGTTCGAAACTCGGCTGCGGCCTTTCTGCGTGGAGTTGCGTGTTCTCCCCATGCATGCGTGGGTTTCCTCTGGGTACTCCGGTTTCCCCCACAGATCACAACATGCCCTATAGGTTATAAACTGTAAGTCACTTTGGATAAAAGCGTCTGCTAAATAAATAAACATAAACATAAAAGAAGTGTGTTTAACTTTGAAAATGTGGGCGCAATTTTAATTGTCAAAAACTCCAGCGAACCATTAGTTCATTTTGCTCAAATAGAAATAGAGGCATGCCTCTAATTCTGGCCCTCCTTCCAATAAAGGCCTGGAGCTTGATGAGCTTGAGTCAAATACAGGCCCGGGCCTGTATTCGAGGATTTACGGTAACTATTTAACTTCAAACTTAAATTAATTAACAAATGACAAAATAATAAATTAAAGGAAATCCTTCAGTCCCCTCTTCATGGAGCTATTGGTTTGGCCCAGGGCCGGAGTGGGACACATTTTCAGCCCTGGAGTTTCAGACCCCAGACCGGCCCACTTAACGAATTATTATTAAAA